ATAGTGAACAGAAAAGCAAACAAAAAAAAACGTGCCAACTGCCCTAGATAGAACCCCATTCGATCCCAGTTTGTACGTGCCCAATTAACTCCATCTCCAACACTACGCCCTCATCCGCACAGCTGATTCCCCGATAAGAACTCTACGACCGTACAAGTGACGATTTTCATGCTTTTTCGTCCTGCAGCTTCGTTTTTCACTGAAAGGCGGAGTCTGGAGGCGGAGTCACTGGAAAAAAGGAGGCGTCACTGAACCTATATTGCGCTATAGCGCCCCTCCCTTACAATTTTTTGCCGCAAAATGGTACAAGGTTGTTCGTCGCGGACCACCCACCCTCCCGACGCCATATTTTCAGCTTCTATACATGATCGCGGACCCTGCCTTTACTTTCTCATAATTCATCTTCCAACATAGTAGAGAATTCCCTTTTCGTTGTTTGCTTTGAACCTGTGCTATCTGATGTCATTTTTGTCGATCATCCAATCTTTCCTGCTTCACCCTTTATTCTTGCTTTTTTAGTGTCACATCTCTCAGATAGGTCCTGAAAACAATATTTCTGAAATAACAATTGGTTTCAACAAACAGAATCACAGTCAGTGCTCGTGCATCGAGGAGAAGGGACGTCGCGCGGCCTTATCTAATAACGGACTTATCTACCGGACTTTGCGGTACTTTTGTCTACGCGAGATCTGTTTTGAATGAAAAGTGCTCAAAGGGCAACCAGGAAGTCAGTAAAATAAAGGTCAAAGCACAACGTCTCCGCCGTCAATCAATCTCTTTATGGGATGCGGCACGCATTCTACTTCCATTCAGAATCGTAGTGGCTTATTGAATGCGGCCTATACAATGACTTGCGGGGGCCAGCCGATGTACAAGTCAGTGTTCTTACCCTCCCATCCTGGCTGTTGAGAAACCTCTCGCTGGCAATGTCGCAGCCATGCAAATAAATGCTCCATATACCCTAGAAAACAAAGCACTTCTCTTCGCACTAAGGTAGTAGCCCCGATTTAGTCGTCGTGAGCGGATGTAGTGCAGGTTATCTAGCTTATTACTCACCTTACACAGGTCGCAGATAATGATGTTATTCGCGTCTCGTTGAGCTACGAACGAACCACAAAGGAGACCATTGACAATGCCTTCAAGATCTTGAAGACAATGACAGAGCACTACAAGAAGCACAAAGGTATGACGGCAAGATCATTTCAAAATTGGAGCTTAGAGGATATAAGATCTTCCATGCAACTGCTTCGACTACTACAAAATTCCTACTAATTGTCAGGAAAAGTCACTGTTCCTTTTCCTACTAATTGTCAGGAAAAGTCACTGTTTGTCACTGTTCCTGTTTTTGAGGTGAGGTTTTCAGTTTCCCTGTAGTTTTGGTTATCTTTTTGATTCTCATCAATCATATTGTGTTTAGCTTGGTCGGCAGCTCAGCAGTTCAGTAGAAACCTTCACCTGTACGGTAAGTAGTTTTTCTTTGTTCCTATTTTCTAATTGTGTTGTGTCTTGGTTATGTTTAAGTTTACTATGTTCTCTTTAACAACACAATTAGAAAATAGGAACAAAGAGAAACTACTTACCGTGCAGGTGAAGGTTTCTACTGAACTGCTGAGCTGCCGACCAAGCTAAACACAATATGATTGATGAGAATTAAAAAGATAACCAGGATAAAACTACAGGAAAACTGAAAACCTCACTGCAAAAACAGGAACAGTGCGCGCGCTGAACACGGCCGTCGGCCGAAAATTTCATAAATAAGCATAGAAACCTACAAACATTAAAACAGATAAAAAAAGAGTGACAGGAAGATGAAAAAACAACATAGAAGCTAACGGGAGGAGAAAGAAGGAAAAAGTAAGTAAATACGGCTGTGAATTAGCATCCGTCCAGTCGATTTTTGCATTGGAGCGCGATCGAATCAGTCGCGCTACACAACCGGTCGCTACCACTAGCGGCGCGATCGCGATGTCTGAACGCTGCCTAACTATAGCCAGACGCGCTACTTGTCTGCGCCCTCCCATTTTGACTGTTCTCTGTCCGATTGCAAGTTTTGCTGCCTGAAAGTTGCAAGCCGTGAGCCACGTTTAGGCCTCTGATGAAGACGATCTAGTCGAAACGTCAGGCCGTAATAAAGTTTCCACCTGCCAACCTCGTATGCACAGAAGAACTTATCAAACCTGTCAAATATGTTTATCCATCTTACTATCCTACTATCAGATGTAAAGATTAAGTACGATTTTTCGCCTAACTGTAATCGCTAGTTAAGCGTGGGTTTTCACAACATCAAAGTTTCTGTTTACACAACAAGAGTGGTTGGCGGTCTAACATAGTCAGTCCGTAGTCGATTAATGGTGCGAATAGATTGTGAGTTGGCCGTGAACGCATTGAATTATAAGTTCAGGTCGTCAGAATGCATGCGCGTGAGATTGGGTGTGTCGGTCGTAAATGCGCGGTCGTAAATGTACCCAACGGCCTAATTGGCCCATCTATACTCTATGAGCACTGTAACCTGACCGCGCGACAGAATACCTATAAGAATCGGACGAGTCGTAACCGAACGCCGGAGCTTTGTCGAGATAGAAGATGAAGCGTACATCAGCTGGGTTGCGCAAAGCCGTATAACACGAGCTATTGAACGTACTTCGAACTTGTTTAACTGGATCGGGTTTACGGAACGCCCGATTGTGTGCGTTCAAGACGCGCCATTTCTAACTTCACGCGCAATTTTCGGAGACTATACACAGTCTGGCAACCTGAACTTATAATCTTGTCTGGGAACGCTGCTTGACGCGAGCGACCGATGGCGGTGGCGGTACGTTGCGAAAGTCCTTGCAAAAACAAACATGTGTGCAATAGTTCTCGACACATTATTGGACCACCGTATATCTCATTATTGACAGATCTGCAGGATACTTTCGTGAATGTTGAAGCAAACTATTGTTCACATGATCTTTGTTCGTTGTACATGAGAATTTCAGATGACCCATCTTTATTAAAACCTGAATCAATGACTAAACTGATGAGCTCTCGAGAAGTACCAATTACTGCGGACGCGGAATTCGAGATAAAAGTACCTGCACCACCTCAAGCCGTGGTATGAACTATCCAAATTGAATAAGAAGATTATTGCTCTTTTAATATACTACTTATCCTTGAGACCGGGTAGGCGTGGTCTCTGAACATACCATAGGATTCCAACTGAGACAACTGTCATCTTGTTCTGTGTTGGACAAAGACATGACCATAACTGTCTCAAAATAAAAATATTTCACCAAAAGCACAGCAATCGGCACGTACAGTTGATGTACGCAGCCAAGCCTACCACATTGCAGGGATTTTGAGTATACTTACACATGGGTAGACTCCATATGTGGTATGGGAGAGTGTGGCCGGGATGAGCTTTTCGTGAGATGTCTCCATTCGGGACAGTCATCGGGTGATCGCTTGCGCCTCCGCCACTGTGCTTCAATCAGAAGCCCTTTTATGCCCCATTATGTGGAAGGAGGAGGAGAGAAAAGAGGATTGAACAAATAGTGAACGCTCATAGGTGAGTTAGTGGTAATGGTGAGCAGAGAATACAGAAAAGTCGAGAATCAGAGCGTATTATTTCAGTCAGCGGAACTGGCAGAATGATTCCCTTCGAATGGGACGTGACGTTATAGCGTTATAAGGTCACAACCAACTGTTGGCAATTTGCCAAACCTCAGCTTGAACTTTCGTGTAAAAGCTGCTTGCGTCGTTTTCACAATCGAAGGGAACTATGCCGCCAGTTCTGCCATTCACTGAAGTAATTCGTGATAGTCGACTTTTCTGTGATCTCCTACCACTAACTCACATATGCACCCACTATCTGTTCAATTCCCTTCCTCCACATAAAAGAGGCTGCTGGATTGGAGCACAGCGCCGGAGACGCGGGCCATCGCCTTTCGCTCCGCCCTGCCGCCGCGACGCCGTGAAGAAACCGCGCCGCATAGGCGAATGGGTGAGTTTTTCCCTCCTCCGTAATAAAGGCATCATTACTTCTGAAGCAAAACCCCCATGTATCACTAGAATGCAAACGTCATGTGCGAATGATGTGCTACACCCAAATCCCCCTCATCTCTGGCATATGGAGTGTACATATTATGTGCACTAATCGCAGATGTGTAAGCGTAGACTGTCCCGTCTTCACATGCTTATTTTGTTGACCTCAAAGAAAACTGTACGTGTGTTTTGATGGTCCTCATCCTTGACATGTGGGAAGCACGGGTCCGCAAATGCAGTGGCATACCGTTTCCCCTCTAAGAACGCGGAGTGTAGTACGGAGTGCTGGAGCGCAGTAACACTATGGTACCATCTCCACACTGTGCCCACGCTGCTGCACGGGTAGCCAGCCACACGCTTAACCATAGTCAAGCGCGCTACCGATATGCGCCTTCTCACTTCTGGTTGTTCATTACCACTGAGAGCGCACTTCGCTACAGGGCCTTGTTATCGACCCAAATGCTGCACTTTTGAAGTTAAAGGCGGCACTCAAGTAGCACTGGTCCAGAGCTCCGTTCCTCATCACTTTTGAGCGAATAGAGTGTCATGCTACTGCAGCTGCGAGCCCATTCGCCTCGCACATGGCAAGGACCGTCTTCGATACAACTTATCCTTGCTTTGTAATCAAGCAAGCTATGATTCTCATTGGATAGCTAACTTCTCAATGATATCTACGAACTTTTACAACTATGAACTGCACTGGAGCACGCCATTTTGCGAGTAGGTCAGGAATTCCAGAAGAACCCTTTTCTGTATATTCATAACATTCTTGAGTGAGAGTTCCCCCTGTCAAGAAGCACCTGACTTTTCTTCCATGCGATTGTTCAAGAAATTCTTCGTTTGTTTTTGATGGCACGATTCTGGCGACAACGAAAACGCGCACCTCCGGGTGCAATATCATTCCAGCCTCTTAAGAATTGAATAAAACGCATCTTTTTCTAGAGTTAATGTAGAAATATTAGGTTGTCCGGAAAGTTCTCAGCGTTTTGGGTGTTTCACTTTAAACGATCGTAACTTTTTTAATACTCATCGGATTCAATCGAAATAGGCACCATTCGAATCAGCACACTTTTGCCAATGTGACAGCAGTCGAGAAATCCCATCAAAGTAAAAAACTGGGTGGTCGAAAATTCACGAAATCCACGAAGGCTTTTTGCCTGGTCCTGATTGATGAAGTATTTTCCAGCAAGGGAGTTCTGAAAATGTTAGAAAAGGTGATAGTCGGTTGGCGAAAGGTCTGAAGAATATGGCGGTTGAGGTAGAACTTCAACCCCAATTCGTTCAATTTATGGATAGTGATTTGTGAAACGTGTGGGCGGGCGGCGTTGTAGCAAGGAATCGGACCCTTTCTTTTTGATGTTGGCTGCATCTGACAAAATTTTCGGTACAATTCGTCGATTTCTTCACAGTAGGGTTCTGCTGTGATGGTTTGGCCTGGTGATAAAAAGTTATAGTGGATCACACCAGCCGATGACCACCAAGCCGTGACCAGAATCTTTTTTCGTGAGGGTTCGGCTTTGAAAATTACTCGATGGTTCGTCGAACTCATTTGTCGAAATCCAACCACTGTCCGGAACGTCTCCTGTTATCATACATGACCCATTTTTCATCACAGGTGACAATTCGGCCCAAAAACAGGTCGTTTCTGCTGCGCACCAAATGCATGCAGAAGACCTCGAGACGTGGCCGGACTCGCTGCCCGGTCCACTCCGATTGTGGGCACCCATTGTCCGAGTTTTTTCAGCTTCCATTTCATTCCGCGTTTCCCGCGACCACTCAACAGTGGATTTGCCAACGCCTAGCTTTCTGCTATCTCTCGAACTGTTTGGGATGGGTCAGCCTCCAAAATCCCCTAAATCCTCGTCAGATATTGCTTTAGGTCGACCGCTATGAGGTTCATCTTCAAGGCTGAAATCTCCAGAACGAAATTTGTTGAGCCATTGCCGCACAGTGCTTTCTCTAGCACTATTGGGCCCCCACACCTGGTTAATTTGTTGAGCTGTTTCGATTGCGGATTGCCCCAATTTATAGTCGAAGAAAAAATCGTCCGAAGTGCTCTTTTCACATGCTTGAAAAAATCTTGAAAAAGGGGTTTATCAAGCAATGGTGAAACGGCAATTATACCATCAGATAGCGCAAGAAATTCTCTACAGGATGTGCTACTGAGAAGCAAGGCAGAATGAGTTTTTAATCAGCAGTGAATGTACAAAAATAGGTGCACAAAACGCTGAGAACTTTCCGGACAACCTAATAGTTCATTCGGCCGTCAACTGAGATCACCTCTATTGCGTCATGCATCTGAGTTGAACGCAGAGGCGTAGGAAAGGAATAACTTCTGGATAAGGCTTCTCCGAGCAAACAGATGTATTTCTACAGTTCAGAAAGGTGCGACCGTAACCTGTGTTCGTTTTGTTTCTTACTTCATAACGTCGTTGTCGGCGGCCACCGTACTCCTGTCACCGCATGTTCCCCACGTCTGAGCTTGCAGCCTACTTCTCCACGCTTTCTCTTCACATGTTTCCAAATCGCCTACAGAACCATGAAGAAATCTCTTGCCATTCAGTGATTGCACAGCATCTTGGTCTCGTCTCCGTCCCTCTTAGTGAGGTTTTTACGACCCTCCTTCATAGTCAAATGCGCTCCCCCTGTTGTGATTTCCACAACGATGGCATGTCCTGTCACTAAGGCAGACTAGAACACGTCACACTGGGTCGATGAGAAGGTGCAGATGAGCCTAGCATGATGTGCTTTGGCCCGCTGGAGGATCGCCTTCCCGAAGCACATACCCACATTTTCGCTGTACATATTTCCCTCGTTCAAAAAAGATTCAGAATCGCAGGACGCACAGCAAATCTGTGGAATAGGAAGTTACTAGCATAAGACAGTACTTGCAGATATTCACTCACTCACTCATTTTGCAGGAGCCGCCATCAACCAGCGCTAGCATTCCGTCGGCAGCCCAGTCACAGACAACAAAGCCTGAGCCAGAAACGAGTTCGAAGACTGAACCGTCGAAGAGCACTGAAATATCCAGTACGAAAACACAAAAGCCATCAAATCCTCCCCGCAGCAAAACTCCACCACCACCTCCCAGTCGTGTGCCTAAACCTGCTAAATCTACTACACCTAAGAAATCACTACCAAAGAAAGAGCCTAAGAAACAGTAGTATGTACAGATTCCGACCTTTGTATAGTTTGTATGACTGATCGACTGTATTCTCACAACACTCTCTTTTTAATTATCGTCTTCGTGGTGATAAAGGTTTCCATGTGACTAGAGAGTAACCAGAGAATTATACAGTGAGACTACAGGAACAGTGGTAAAGATTAATCTATCCTACTATAAATAACCCGCTAAGTATATTTGTCAGTCTGTCTGTGTGTGTGTGTGTGTGTGTCTGTCTGTCACTAAATTCATAGCGACCCAGTAGCCGTGGCAAGTTGGTTCCAAGGTACGATATGGGGTGTCGGACAGCGAGTGATATCAGGCTGGTGAATTTGACAAGAGGCGTCAGAGGGGGAGGGTCACCGAGTATACAGAAACGATATAGAGGGGAGGTGGGAACGTCGACGGTGGGTGATAGAAAGTACTAAATGTATTATACACATGCATGTAAGAATCTCGAGCGGTGGGGGGGGGGCGGGGTATGTAGCTTGCGTGAAAAAGGAAAGCCAGAAAAATTCATGAACCAAATGCCTCAATAATGTAACACACTTCAGTAAGGTTTTTACATTCGAACTTCGTGAGAACGAATAATAATGAGGTAGTATGTACCATTTTCACTTTAAATCGGACACTTTTCAAACCAAATCGGACACTTTTCAAACCAAATCGGACACTTTTCAAACCAAATCGGACACTTTTCAAACCAAATCGGACACTTTTCAAACCAAATCGGACACTTTTCAAATCAAATCGGACACACCCCTTACAATGGGCAGTTGATAACTAGACCACACTAGGTACTGCTGCAAGCCCCGCACCAAAACCGCGTCCACTTTTCAGTGCGGTCACGGTTTTCCAATCATGTCTGTACATTCTGCTTCTGTAGAATATTTTCTGGTTTCTTGCTCAGCGTGACACACTACAGGTCCAAGCTGAATAAGTTTGCTAAAGAATGTATACACTCTAGCTCGTCTGCAGCACGTCGGGCCGCGTGTCAGGCCGAGTAGAGTATGTTACCCTATCGAGAGGCGTTCTCTTGCTTGAAGTAGCGCATGCGACAAAAGTGGCCGGTAGAAAAGCGATTTTATAGAGATATACTTGCCAGTATTCGTCACCTCGTGCCCGCTTCAACAACTGGTGTAGAACGAATTTGGCACTGCGCCAAACGCAGCCGCACTGACACGCCCAACCGTCCGCAGCGAACTACAGTATACATGACTCCGCCCACTTCACAATCAACTGACGTAAGTTCTGAATTTTTATAACTTTTTTCGACGTCGTTTTTCACATTCAATCTTCACAAAACGAATATAGCCATGCTTTTACACACTAGCACACTAGCCCCGCCCCTCTGACCACGCCCACTTTCGTTTTTCGCGGAATTTTGATTTTTCTTCCGAATTTTCACTTTTTAGGCTGTGACAAGCGGCCCCGCCCACTTTTCAAAAATGATGCAGATCGGCGAGCTAGTGACCGTACTAGCAGGTTATGGCCTCTCCCGTCACATAGAATGAAAAAAAGGGAAAGACCAGAAAAAAGGGGAACTTTGACGGGAGAGGCCATCTGCCAGTGCGGTCACTAGCTCGCCGATCTGACATTTTTGAAAGTGGGCGGGGCTTCTACAAAGTGGGCGGAGCTTCCATTAGTGGGCGGGGCCGCTTGTCACAGCCTAAAAAAGTGAAAATTCGGAAGAAAAATCAAACCCGCGAAAAACGAAAGTGGGCGTGGTCAGAGGGGCGGGGCTAGTGTGCTAGTGTGTAAATGCATGGCTATATTCGTTTTGTGAAGATTGAATGTGAAAAAACAACTCGAAAATCATAAAAATTCGGAACTCACGCCACTTCATTGTGAAGTGGGCTTCATTGTGAAGTTTATAACTAGCGTAACTAGCGTAGCTCGAATATTATCTCCTGTAAACATTACTACGACGACCTCAGCGAGTGGATTGCATGGTTGGGAATAGGTAAGGTAGGTAGGTAAGTATCGCTGAAAACGCCGCAAGTCTGAAAGAATTACAAGGTTCCAACGTCTCATCATAGTGCCGATTTCTAGGGAAAAATTCGTAGATACCACCGGTGTTTCTTATAGGTGAAACCAATGATACTGTTGTTTTTGGGATTATTTGCATAGATCATTCGAGTGAGAGTCACTTTCCATTTGTGACGTGCATGAAGTGGTGAGTCAGCCTACGGTTTGGTCAACTCTTCATACGCTTACCATGGTCCGACC